TCGTGCATACCTTAGATGTATATACAAGAGTTTCTCGGCTCATTCACTACACTAAGTCTTAAACTTTTTTTGATAAAATCTCCCTTAAAATTTGAACTTTCTAAAAAAAAATTTATAATTGACCAAACAAAATAGCCATTCAATTCCCAAAGGCCTCTAGCCTCCTCTACCAGCACTCAATCATATTACAGAAAATAAACTAGTCAAAAAAGCACAATTGTTCAATTCAAAAGTCACAATAAACCAATCATCCGATCATATTTCAACCATTAACAATCCTTAACCAAAGCTAATAATGCAAATACAAACTTTATTGTCAAACTAAATTTAACTAACCTTTTTTTGGCAAAGAAATAAAACTAAATTTAACTAACATGGGTTAGCAATTAAGCTAACTCCGCCTATGTTTATAGCCGGTCCCAAGTCCGGGTAAAGGAGGAGGGTTGTGTTAGGCCATCAACAGTCAATGTAAAAATTTGTTGAATCTATCATGAACATGGACAATAGACGTTATAATGTTAATGCTAGGTCGTTGCCCGTAAGTAACGCACTGCATGGCTCGAGTACAGTGATAAGTGAGTTAGAGCCGCTGAGACATTAAATGGAATGTTGGGACATTAAATTGTAAATCTGTAGAGGTTGTAGGGGTTATGATTCAAAGGAAAACCAATATCCTTTGCTTGCAAGAAACAAAATGGCGTGGAGAAGGAGCTAAGGATATTTAAGGTTTCAAACTTTGGTATACAGGAAAAGTAAGTGCACGCAATGGAGTAGGCATCATTATAGATAAGGAGTGGAAGAAGAACGTTGTAGAAGTTAGCAGAATTGGAGACAGAATTATTCTTTAAAAATGATAATTGGACGTGAGACTGTTAATATTGTTAGCGCTTATGCGCCGCAAGTGGGGACAGAAGCCAGTCTTAAGGAATTATTTTGGGAGGATCTGGAGGGGTTGATTCGACACATACCACAGAGTGAAAAGATTTTTATTAGAGGAGACTTTAATGGGCATGTCGGGAGGGAAGCTGTCAGTATGTGAGGGTGCATGGTGGTTTTGGTTTTGGAGAGCCAAACAATGAAGGGCAAACTCTTCTTGATTTCTCATTGGCGTATGATTTTAAGATTGCCAACACTTATTTCAAGAAGAGAGATGAGTATCTCATCATTTACAAAAGTGGAGCCTCAAGGTCGCAGATTGATTTTCTTTTGGTTAGGAACACAGATAGAAAACTTTGTAAAAATTGTAAGGTGATCCCTGGAGATGCTGTGACGACACAACATAGGGTCCTAGTCCTTGATGTGTGTATTATGAGTAAAATCTAAAAACGTCGACAAGTAGTAACACCAAGGATTAGGTGGTGGCAATTAAAAGGTGAGAAGCAAGATATTTCAAGCGAAATCTTTTGGATAAAGGAATTTAGGATTCTCAGGGAAGTGCTAACATCATATGGGAGGATATGGCTAAAAGATACGGGAGGTTGCAAAAGTAGTTTTGGGAGAATCGAAAGGTTTTGGTCCGAGAGATAAGGAGTCTTGGTGGTGGAATAATAGTGTACAGGACAAAATCAAGTATATAAGAAGAACTGTTTTTAAAGCCATACATTTGTGTAACAATGAGGAAAATTGGGAGAGGTACCGTATGGCTAAGAAGGAAACTAAGAGAGCTGTGGGTGAAGCTCGTTCCAAAGCTTTTGAAGAATTTATAAGAACCTTGAGATGAAGGAAGGAGAGCAAAATATTTATAAGATTGCCAAGAGTAGGGAAAGAAATTAAGAGATCTAGAACAAGTAAGGTGTATTAAGGATGAAGAGGGAAGAATTTAGTTACAGATGATGAAATTAAAAATAGATGGGAGACTTATTTTTCTAAACTTTTCAATGATGGAGAGGATTCATCTAGTAACTTGGAGGATTTAGTAACTGGTGAAGGAGAACAAAATTTGTTCATTCTATCGAAAAATACGTGATAAGGAGGTAAAGGAAGCTCTTAAGAAAATGGCAAATGGTAGAGCTAACGGACCTAATTGTATATCTATCGAAGCGTGGAAATATTTAGGTGAAGAAGGGGTGAGATGGTAACTAAGTTATTAATGTGATTTTACGGTCCAAGAAAATGCCTGATGAGTGGAGGAGAAGTACATTAATTCCTATTTATAAAAATAAAGGAGATATTCAAAATTGTACTAACTATAGAGGGATTAAACTCATGAGCCACACAATGAAATTGTGGGAGAAAGTAATTGAGCACAGGTTGAGATTGGAGACAAGTATTTCTGAGAATCAATTTGGTTTTATGCCAGGTAGATCAACTACAGAGGCGATTTATCTACTAAGGGGATTAATGAAAAGTATCGTTGTAAAGATAAAGATCTACACATGGTTTTTATTATTTGGAAAAAGCTTATGACCGTATACCAAGAGAAGTGCTTGGAAAGCTTTGGAAAAAGGGAGTACGGATTGCTTATATTAAAGCCATACAAGATATATATGAGGGGGTAAAAACTAGTATAAGAACGCTAGTGGTCAAACAAAGGATTTTTCTATAAAGATTGGACTACATCAGGGATCATCTCTGAGTCCTTATTTGTTCAACTTGATTTAAATGTTTTGACGAACATATTCAAGAGGAAATCCCGAAATGTATGCTCTTCGCGGATGATATAGTTCTTATGCAGAGACAAGAGAAGAGGTTAATTGCAAACTTGAGTTATGGAGGAGGACATTGGAGTCGAAAGGTTTTCGTCTGAGTAGAAGTAAGACGGAATATTTATATTGTAAATTTGGTAAAGGACTATTCAAAAATAATTTGAAAGTGAAATTGGGAGATCAAATTATACCTCAAGTGGAAAAGTTTAGATATTTGGGAGCCATTATTCAAAATGATGGCGAAGTCAGTGGAGATATTTCACATAGAATTCAAGCGGGGTGGTTTAATTGGAGAAAAGCTAAAGGAGTTATTTGTGACCGTAACGTGCCTAATAAACTTAAAGGAAAGTTTTATCGCACTGCTATCAGACCGGCAATGTTATATAGTAGCGAATGCTGGGCTCTAACGGGACAGCAAGAGCATAAAGTTGGAGTAGCAGAGATGAGAATGTTACGATGGATGTGCGGACATACACGTAAAGATAAAATTCGAAATGAGCACATACGTGAAAAAGTAAGGGTGGCACCTATTGAGGAAAAATGGTAGAAAATCGGTTGAGATGGTTTGGGCATGTACAAAGAAGACCAAGGGAGGCACCAGTGAGAAGAGTGGAACATATAACTTTAAGTCCGATTAAGAGAGGTAGAGGAAGGCCTAAGAGAACACTCTTGGAAGTTGTTGAACGTGATCTCTTAATTAATAATATTTCTAAAAGCTTAATAAATGATAGAGTACAATGGCGTCTTGCAATCCATGTAGCCGATCCCACCTAGTGGGATAAAGGCTTGTTGTTGTTGTTGTTGTTGTTGTTGAGTTAGCAATTAAGCTAATACTCATGATTTTTTTTTAAAAAAAAAAATTGATAGAATCTCCCTTAAGAGTTGGACTTTCAAATAAATTTACAATTAAAAATACTAACATAGTTTAACTATAAATGCTTGTCCTATCTAGCAATAATCCACAAACAAGATTTTAATTAAATTTTTAAAGTCAATGTAAGTTTCAAACTGTAATGAATTGGATGTTCCCAATATAGTGAAATGACCAATACAATCCCACATCTCTTGAGTTTGAACAAGGAAAAGATGATACATTTCACAAATTCTCATATGGACAAAAAGTCCAGTTCCATTATATCTCAATCTCAATTATTTTAACAATAGAGAAACACACACTCTATTTCCATTATATCCAAAATCACAATATGCAAGAAACAAAATCAGTGAAGAAATTCAAAACTATTCTCATATCCAAAACCAGAAGCATGTGTGAGGAAATTCAAGGAATCCAAAATAGCGAAACAAGCAACCACAATCACGACAGAATTCAGAAGAAAATTCAAAGGCAACCACAAGCAAATTTGAAGAAAACAAATCAATGAACATCAATTTGGGTATGAGCATGAGAGAATTCAAAAAATAAAAACCAAAAATTAAAAAATACCTAGGACTCTCAACAAGAGCACGAGCAATTGAAGATGAAGAACAAAGAGAGAAGGTGATGAAGCTAGAAAAGCAACAAGAATGAGCGCCAGCACAGGATTGAAGACAAAGCACGAGCACTGGATCAAAGATAAAGCTAGACAAAGAACAAGAATGAGGGTTGTAAGGCATGAGCACAGATTTTGGGTTTCAATTGCTTGAGCGTGACGAACTAATTCTTCATTTGAGTTAGTCGTTGGGAACTGATTGGGCTCTGAGGGCAAGAGGGAGAGACGATAGCATTCTTGAGTGTGACAACAATGAACTAATACAAGAGTTTTGAGAAAAATTAAAAACATATCTACAACAATTACAAGGGAAAAATGGTTTAGGTATTGATATCTATCGATTACACAAGGAGCTGGTGTAGATATATTTTAAAAAAAATATTTTTAACATATCTACATCAATAATTACATACAATTAGTATAGTTATGTATTCTAATTTTAAAAAATTATTTTTAATCAGTGTAGTTATTAGGTATAACCGATGTAGTTATATATTCTAAATTTTTTAGATATCATCACAATCACCTATTTATTTATAAAATACCATCACCTCCCATTTCTAAGCGTGAATTGATGTAGATATAGGATTTTTGAAAAGGCTATTTTGCACTTTAAGGGCTTGTGTTGGTGTTGTGTTGTGTTGTTCACAAGTTTTGTCTAACGTTTGTCTGAAAAGAATATTTACAACCTTATTGGATCCGTGACTATTCATTAAAAAAAAAATTACCCGTGATCCTTTTTAGTTTTGTGCATGCTTTTCTGTTAAAAATCAGGTGTAAATAAATTAATTTGCTATGTTAATTAATTTCCATGTGTGTATGTAGAATTATTCGATGACCAAATCTCCTAAACCTTTGCCCAAAACTGAAACTTTGCATTCCATGATTCTAGCTCCTGTATTGAATCATCCCTCCGTTCATAGTTCTCCCACGATACAAATCATCAGTACTAACAAGAAGATCCGATCGATACTCCACAGAAATGGCGGATTTGAAGTTCCAAATAGTTATGTTTCCATGGTTCGCCGCCGGCCACATGACTCCATTCCTGCACCTGGCCAACGAGCTTGCCAAAAGGGGCCATAGAATCACCTACTTGCTGCCGAAGAAAGCTCTGGTTCAGCTCGGCCACCTGAACCGCCACCCAGATCTCGTAACCTTCCGCCTTGTGAAGATCCCTCACGTTGCCGGCCTCCCGGAGGGGACAGAAACGGCGTCGGAGATCCCCCTCTCGTTAAACCACTTGCTGTGCATGGCCACTGATATGATCCAGGACCAGGTGGTGGGCATACTAAGGGAAACAAAACCAGACTTGGTGTTATACGACAATGCGTTTTGGGTGCCGGAGCTGGCCAGGAAGCTCGGGATCAAAACGGTGTGCTTCAACGTCGTTTGCGCGGCAAGCTTGGCTATAGGTCTCGTCCCTGCAAGGAAGGTTCCAAAGGATAGGGCTTTAACTCTGGAGGATATCAGCCAGCCACCACCAGGTTAATCATATGTCATATTCTATTAAGAAAATTATTAATTCTTTAAATTCACTGAGATTTGGAATATATTTGTTTAATCCTGGGATGCTCTCCATGCAATCAAAAGTTGGAAATTGCTTTTGGAGGATCTTATTATGAGAGGTTGAAGGATTTGTGTTGATCTACTCTGAAAAAGTGAAAATGGAAACCATAGGGCGGGGATGAATCTAGAAACAAATCCTTGAAGGGCAAAATTAAAAATTACTTAAAATATGTGGAATTAATACTAATTTTATATTTTTTATTAGTACAATAAAAAGGAATGAGTTGGTTAAGCTTTATATTTTTGATCAGGTGATTAAGACTTATATTTAAGATCGGGAGAAGTACTCGTATTAGTTAAAATATTAAAGATTTAAAGTTGTTATAAAATTAATTAGCTTTCTATAATATTCTTATTAATCACCAAGCTCTACCATCATATTTATTTCTGCTCCCTTTCATTCATTCCAGCAGTTCAACTGTCGTTGTACATACAACACTCAGCCACCCAATACACAACACACAATCAAAACACACCCATCTGACATAATCTCCACTCATTTTTAGGCCTATCTATGGGGGCTATAGAACCCATGATATCTTGCAACAAAGTAGAAGGTTCGTGCCATTGAATTAAATGGTTCTTGGCAACAATTATCCAACCTTTAATACAGGGCATATGTAAATAATAATAATAATAATATTTTAAATAAATTTTGTGAGATCACTGATAAAAAGGATTAAAAAAAATTAGAAGGTACCTCATGTGTATATAAAACTAGCATAGTTTATGCTCTCTCCTGATCTTAAATAAGATATTTTTGTAGGTAATTCAGTGCTCCAATATGTAAGGCATTTTACAAGCTTTTATTAATGGTAATTATTTCAATATTATCTCTCATTATTTTACTTTCTAAATCAATTTTCTTCCCTCTCTTTTATTAATGGAGGTTTTTTTTTTGGAGCTTTTATAAGAAAAATAAATTATAAAACGTATTTAATGAATTTCTTTTACTTGTGTAGTTTTATCATAAAAAGATCTTATAAATTGAGACCGCCGGAGAGAGTATTTTAAAACTAATAACAACAACAACAACAACAAGCCTTTATCCCACTAGGTGGGGTCGGCTACATGGATTGCAAGACGCCATTGTGCTCTATCATTTATTAAGCTTTTAGAAATATTATTAATTAAGAGATCACGTTCAACAACTTCCAAGAGTGTTCTCTTAGGCCTTCCTCTACCTCTCTTAATCGGACTCAAAGTTATATGTTCTACTCTTCTCACTGGTGCCTCCCTTGGTCTTCTTTGTACATGCCCAAACCATCTCAACCGATTTTCTACCATTTTTTCCTCAATAGGTGCCACCCTCACTTTTTCACGTATGTGCTCATTTCGAATTTTATCTTTACGTGTATGTCCGCACATCCATCGTAACATTCTCATCTCTGCTACTCCAACTTTATGCTCTTGCTGTCCCGTTAGAGCCCAGCATTCACTACTATATAACATTGCCGGTCTGATAGCAGTACGATAAAACTTTCCTTTAAGTTTATTAGGCACCTTACGGTCACAAATAACTCCTTTAGCTTTTCTCCAATTAAACCACCCAGCTTGAATTCTATGTGAAATATCTCCACTGATTTCGCCATCATTTTGGATAATGGCTCCCAAATATCTAAACTTTTCCACTTGAGGTATAATTTGATCTCCCAATTTTACTTCCAAATTATTTTCGAATAGTCCTTTATCAAATTTACAATATAAATATTCCGTCTTACTTCTACTCAGACGAAAACCTTTCGACTCCAATGTCCTCCTCCATAACTCAAGTTTGCAATTAACCTCTTCTCTTGTCTCTGCTATAAGAACTATATCATCCGCGAAGAGCATACATTTCGGGATTTCCTCTTGAATATGTTCCGTCAAAACATTTAAAATCAAGTTGAACAAATAAGGACTCAGAGATGATCCCTGATGTAGCCCAATCTTTATAGGAAAATCCTTTGTTTGACCACTAGGCGTTCTTATACTAGTTTTTACCCCCTCATACATATCTTGTATGGCTTTAATATAAGCAATCCGTACTCCCTTTTTTTCCAACGCTTTCCAAAGCACTTCTCTTGGTATACGGTCATAAGCTTTTTCCAAATCAATAAAAACCATGTGTAGATCTTTATCTTTACAACGATACTTTTCCATTAATCCCCTTAGTAGATAAATCGCCTCTGTAGTTGATCTACCTGGCATAAAACCAAATTGATTCTCAGAAATACTTGTCTCCAATCTCAACCTATGCTCAATTACTTTCTCCCACAATTTCATTGTGTGGCTCATGAGTTTAATCCCTCTATAGTTAGTACAATTCTGAATATCTCCTTTATTTTTATAAATAGGAATTAATGTACTTCTCCTCCACTCATCAGGCATTTTCTTGGACCGTAAAATCACATTAAATAACTTAGTTAACCATCTCACCCCTTCTTCACCTAAACATTTCCACGCTTCGATAGATATACAATCAGGTCCGTTAGCTCTACCATTTGCCATTTTCTTAAGAGCTTCCTTTACCTCCTTATCACGTATGTTTCGATAGAATGACAAATTTTGTTCTCCTTCACCAATTACTAAATCCTCCAAGTTACTAGATGAATCCTCTCCATCATTGAAAAGTTTAGAAAAATAAGTCTCCCATCTATTTTTAATTTCATCATCTGTAACTAAAATTCTTCCCTCTTCATCCTTAATACACCTTACCTGTTCTAGATCTCTTGATTTTCTTTCCCTACTCTTGGCAATCTTATAAATATTTTGCTCTCCTTCCTTCGTCTCAAGGTTCTTATAAAATTCTTCAAAAGCTTTAGAACGAGCTTCACCCACAGCTCTCTTAGTTTCCTTCTTAGCCATACGGTACCTCTCCCAATTTTCCTCATTGTTACACAAATGTATGGCTTTAAAACAGTTCTTCTTATACTTGATTTTGTCCTGTACACTATTATTCCACCACCAAGACTCCTTATCTCTCGGACCAGGACCTTTCGATTCTCCCAAAACTACTTTTGCAACCTCCCGTATCTTTTTAGCCATATCCTCCCATATGATGTTAGCACTTCCCTGAGAATCCCAAATTCCTTTATCCAAAAGATTTCGCTTGAAAATATCTTGCTTCTCACCTTTTAATTGCCACCACCTAATCCTTGGTGTTACTACTTGTCGACGTTTTTGGATTTTACTCATAATACACACATCAAGGACTAGGACCCTATGTTGTGTCGTTACAAGCATCTCCAGGGATCACCTTACAATTTTTACAAAGTTTTCTATCTGTGTTCCTAACCAAAAGAAAATCAATCTGCGACCTTGAGGCTCCACTTTTGTAGGTGATGAGATGCTCATCTCTCTTCTTGAAACAAGTATTGGCAATCTTAAAATCATACGCCAATGAGAAATCAAGAAGAGTTTGCCCTTCATTGTTTAGCTCTCCAAAACCAAAACCACCATGCACCCTCGCATACTGACCAGCTTCCCTCCCGACATGCCCATTAAAGTCTCCTCCAATAAAAATCTTTTCACTCTGTGGTATGTGTCGAATCAACCCCTCCAGATCCTCCCAAAATAATTCCTTAAGACTGGCTTCTGTCCCGACTTGCGGCGCATAAGCGCTAAGTATTTTAAAACTAATATTAAATATAAATATTTACTTGATCGTTATAATTTGATTACAATAGATAAATGATCATGTCCACTGTTTTTCTTGTTTGCCCTCAAATGTTCAACACTCTTTCATATTACTCCATGGTTGCCGACAAACAAGTAATTGACAATTTGAAAAATGGCAGGTTACCCTTCAACAAAAGTAATGCTTCGCGGAGACGAAGCTCGATCGTTACTCTTCCTCTCCCTCCCGTTCGGCGACAAGATAACCTTCTACGACCGCATCACCAATGCCTTACGAGAATGCGATGCCATAGCCATCCGAACCTGCAGAGAGATCGAACGAAGCTTCTGCGACTACATGTCCCACCAATACCACAAGCCCGTCTTCCTCACCGGCCCCGTCTTACCCCACCAATCCAAACACCACGACCTCGACCCCTCCATCGCCACTTGGCTCGCCGGCTTCGAGCCCCGGTCCGTCGTCTTCTGTGCCTTCGGGTCACAGCTCAACCTCGAGAAACCTCAGTTCCAAGAGATCCTCCTAGGGTTGGAGCTCACAGGCTTACCTTTCCTGGTTTCCCTGAAACCTCCGACAGGGTGCGACATGGTAGACGAGGCCTTACCGGAAGGGTTCGAAGAGAGAGTTGGAGGGAGAGGGATGGTGTGCAGAGGTTGGGTTCAGCAACCGCAGATTCTGGATCATCCGACGGTGGGGTGTTTCGTGAACCATTGCGGTTTCGGGTCGATGTGGGAATCGCTAATGAGTGAGAAGCAGATAGTATTGTGTCCTCATTTGGGTGATCAGATTCTGAACACGAGGATTCTGGTGGAGGAGCTGGCGGTGGCGGTGGAGGTGGAGAAGGCGGAGAAGGGGTGGATTTCGAAGGAGAAGCTGTGTGAGGCGGTGAAGAATGTGATGGATGAAGGGAGTGACGTGGCGAGGAGGGTGAGGGAGAATCACGAGGAATGGAGGTTGGTGTTGGGGACAGATGGGTTCACGGATGCTTACATTGATGGGTTTGTTCAGAATTTGAGAGAGCTTCTCAGGGGTGAGAAATGATTAATCTTTGATGGGCTAGGTCGGAGTATGTATTAGACTCGATCGGATTGAGGAGGGGACTTTCAGACCAAGAAATTCTTGCTTGTTCTGATTTTTTTTGGGTCATACATACTTGTCATTTGTCAAGGTATGAATGCTAAACATGAGTACGTACATCTCTTAAGAAAAAATTGAATTTTGATTAATCATGTTATGAAAAACTAGTTACTTCTACTAACTTAATCTCGTTGGTTGCTTGTTTAGAATTTTTATCTCTATTGTTGTTATATGATCTAGAATATAGGTTGGGGGGTGTATATTACTTGATTATTTGTTCAGAATTTGAGTCTAACTTGATAGGTTTTGGTTGGATTCTTGTAGAGTTTGGGAAGTGTTGATTAATTGTTTTATGCGTGCGCTAGTGTTATATGATAGCTTGATATATATTGGTCTCTATTGCTCAATGTCTCCTCTACTAGTGCTCTCTTATTTATTTATTCATTTTGAAAAAAAAAATTACCTATGAATTGGATCCCTAAGGCTCCCTAGAGTCAAAATATATAGAACCAGAATGTGTAATGTGTTTTTCCCATGCTACTGCTAATGTAAATTATCCAATGGTTATGAAATATATTTCATGGATAAGGTGATTTTTTTTTTTATATGACTATTTCACCAAATCAATTTTGAACATTATCAGGTCTACTTGTGATAGCTTTTCTTAATGTGTTTTCTGCATTTATAAAAGCTTAAAAATAAAATCTCTACTTAAGTAGTCATCACTCCTCCTACGTACTATAATCAAACACATGTTGGTGGATGAAGATCATTTAATACTATTTTTTTTTTTGCTACATACAAATATTGTTCTATTAGAAACAATCGAGTTTGAGGCACACTTACACAACCTAGGTGTTTTAAGTATTAACTTGCAAACTATCAAAGTGAGCTGGGCTGGATCTAGAGAGTAACTTTTGGTTAGATTGGGTCAGACTTGAAAACTTGCCAAAGTGATTCGAAAAGAAAACTACCAAATCAGACCTGGCTCCTATATTTAGGTATAGGATAGAGCAAGATTTACCTATTTAACATTATATACTTAATATAATTTTATCCAATCAATTTAACATAAGCAAATTTTAATATATTAATAATATTAATAATAAGAGTTTATTATAAATAAATAGTCTTTAAATAATAATACACATGTTTTGATTTAATTAAAAGCAAACACCTTAAATATATGAAATTAGGCATATAAGTTTTCCCTTGCCGAATATTGTTTTATTGCTACAAAAGCTTAGCCCAGCTTGGATTTTTTTGCAAGAAATTAATTTTATTAAGATTAAAATTTTAATTATTAGCAATTTTCATTTTAATATTTCAAATTATGAATTTATTATTTTTAATAGTAAAAACAAAATCTAAATAAAAATTAAATTCAATAATAATTTTATAACTAAAAATATTATAAATGAATTTTTTTAATCTAATTTTTTGCCAGATCAATCTCTGCTTGATACTAGCCCAATCTAAGTGGACATTGACCTTAGCTTCAATTATGAAAAGAATGTTAAATTGTCTGGGCCAGGAATGGACAAAATTAATGCCCAATTCAACTATGGCCACGAACACTAAACACGTAGGAGAGAAGTATCCAAAATATCTAATACCAAAAAAATATTAAATATCATATTCGTTAAAAAGATAAACATGAAGAAATATCTGAAATTAAATTAAGACTCTAAATATCTCATGAACCAGACTTAGATTTGCCTCCATGATGAATCAAATTCGTCATGTGACAAGAAGCCGACCAACGTGCTTCGTTTTCTTTTAGCATCAAAGTGGGGAAAAAATCTTTAGGAGAATTACAATAAAATTTCAAATAAAAAAATTAATTATTACAAGATTCAATAGTAATTAAATTAAGGAGATTGACAACTGATTATTTGTTAATTTTTTTAATTTAATTATTAATGAATAAATTTTATAGTAATTAAATTTTTATGTGAAACTTAAATATTATTTTCTTAAAATCTCTTCGTATCTTTCGTTTTGCAGTCTGCAAATAACGCCTACGCTACCAAGGTAAAAAATAAAAATAAATCAGATCGGCATCGGGCCAACGTGTTTGCGGATAGCTTTCGTTTATTTGTAAGTTTGAATGATTTCGCATCTTCTTCACATGCTAATTGCAAATCATAAATTTTAATCTCAAACTCATTAAGTATGAGGTATTTCAATCTCAAACTAATTAGGTAAGAAATAATTAATGCTGTGTATTCCCAAATTCACAAAGAATTGAAGCTTACTTTAGGAGATGATCATTGGCCAATACTCAATCAAAAGAAGAAATTTCATATGCTTCCTCCGTCTAATTTATAAAATAGTTTGATCAAATTACTCATAAGGAAAAAAATCTTTACATAACTCACAGTTTTAAAAAATTAAATATGATAATTATATTTAAAATTAAAATTTTTTGACTAAATTACCCTATAATTAATAAGTTAAATTTATTTAGTAAAAATAAACTTTATCTTATAAGGAATAAGTTAGAAAAAATATAATAAACACTTCCTATAAAATTAGATAAATTGGCTCATTGATTAAAAAAAATTGTATAAAAAATATAAATTAAATTTTAAAAAATTTAAAAGTGTGATCATGTAGACGGATTTATAATTGATACATATAAAAAAGTTATCATTAAACATTTAAACAATTATAAAAAATATTATTAATATATAATTATATATTATTGACATATATAATAAACAAATTATATTATAAAATATAATATATATTAAATTATTTATTGATATGGACTATATTTACAAAAAATTCTTATTAAAATTTGTATTTCTTCTTATAAATAAAACATGATAATTTCTCTTCTAATTGAAAAGAGAAAAAGTAGTAACGAAATTCATTAAATATAATTTAAAATCTTGAATTTTTCATTCACTTTCAAAACATCAATTATGAGCAGGATAGAATTATAATTTTAATCATTTTTTTTTTCAAAACTTCTTATATTATAAAAGACAAATCACCTTCAAAAGGTGTTAATATGCAATTGTCCCGGGCGGAATACAAGAATAGTCAGGATTGGAGAGATGCTTGAAGAAGGCACGAATTTCATAATTGAATTAATTTAATTGTATCGTATAACATCGAAAATCAAGCATAAATTCAAATTCAATAAGGTACAATTGACTCGAAGCAGTGAACACCATCTAACTCCGGCGCAAACCTCGGCGAGAATCGCCGCCTTTGTTTCTTGTCTCCGCCGGGTTGCGTCGGCGGCGCGGCCTTGGATGAATCTGGAGCCGTCCGTTTCTTCTCAGCAGAATCAACGGAGGAAGAAGGCTTCTGCTCCAGCTTGGGCTTGAGATTTCCGCCGTCAACAGATAAGCGTAACCTCTGACCGTAGGAAAACTCGGCGCAGAGAGCATCGAAGGAGCTAAAAATGGACATCAACATCTTGAATCGCGGAGATCACAGAGAGAGAGATGCAATCAAAGAGTAGGAAGTATCGGAGAATTGGGAGATTGAAGCGAATATGTTGAAGAGAGTTGCTTGGGATGGAGGGAAAGTTCTGGAAGCAGGAGAAGCTTGGAAAGGAGGGAATCGCAATGGACTGAGTTGGCGTGGAGGGAGAGAAGCTAAAGAAGGTATATAAAGGAGGAGGAAGGAAGCGTGGGAGAAGGATGAGGAAATTTCGGGAAAAGCAGGTGGTGACGTGGAGGAAATAACAATGCAGGCACTAGGAAGGCTTGTGTTGCGTGTGGACAATTTCCGTCCAAGCAAATGGATGACCAGATGAAATGACATTTTAGCCCTGCACTAAATATTACAAATAAAAATTTTTTTTGAAATAACTACTTTTATACAAGGCATAATAAAACTTTTACTTGCTGAAATTTATCTTAATTATTAATTTAATTATCTATCATTAGTTCGTTGAATTTGTTTTAATTATTGGTGTTTATTATTTTAAATCTGCTGTTATGTAAATTAATTGAGACAAATATAATTATTTAGATAAAAAATTAGAGTTAAAAAACTTTTAAAAAAATTAAAATACTGATAAAAATTAGATTGATTTGAAAACTAATTCATTATTATTCAAGTATTTACACGCACCAAGGCCTCAACATAATTGACATGTCTTAGAATTGGTTAGGCCAAGACAAAAATGAAAAGAAAAGGAAAGAAAAGAAATAACTTGGGGAGCAAGAGAGTTGAGCGGTGAAAAGTAGAATAATGGAAAGGGGGTTGTATTTGCATAATAGAAGAAGGAGAAGGGTGCAAGTGGGAAGGAAAAGCCGACCATGATGGTGGGCGGCTAAATGATAGGAATGGATCAGTCAAATTAAGTGGAGAGTTGAATGGACATGTTTTGTAAGAATGAAGAACGCTTGAGGAAGAAGCTTCCAGACCAAGTCCACGTTGATTCCATTCCAGTCCCAGACACGTCCTAGTCCAATTCAAACACGCAACCTTCTAACGTGCATGATTAACGTTGCAATTTTGTGTTTTTTCTTAACTCGACAGTTGACACAGTCTCGTTCATTTTAGCTTTGACCCTGCTTTTGTGGGATTTTGAGTCTTTGTTATTACTTTTCATACTTTTTTTTTTTTTACATTCTTCCATAAGTAATATTTTGAAAAATTATAAAAATTCCTCAATTTTAGTGACGTTCATGAGGGGATGTAGAGACTAGAGAGCTAATATGAAATGTGACGGAAGATAATCAAAATTCATCCTTAGCTTATGAGGCCTTCGCACTATTTTTTTAATCCTATAAATAAATTATTTCTAACTACTCTCGTAAAAACCAATGAGAGGTATAAAAATTATTGATATTATTTAAAAAAAAATCTCAATTTACCTATATTAAATATATCACCTCTAAAACAAGCTCTCTATCATTTGCAAACTCTTGTATAAAATAACAAAAAAGGTAAAATTAAAAAAAGAATTAATTATCTTTTTGTTATGTAAATGACTTATAAAAAGAATGATAAGTTCCAATTAATATAGGAATGAAAAAAGTACTTGTGTAAGCCATTGCACTCTTTTTATACAAACGAAAGAAAAAGAAAGTAATCAAGATTAGAGCAGTTAACAATTTCATCAGTAATGGTTTGACTCAAAAAGTAATCAAGATTGGAGCAGTTAAGCAGGTCAAATAGGGACGGAAACTGGGCTGCCATTTCCTTGATGATTAAACCAAAAAAATGTTGAATGGTTGGACTTTTGAATTCTACTTACTGACCAGAACTTTGTTAATTATAAAGAATATTTAATAGTCAATGAGGTCAAGTTAATTATGCACATATAGACTTTCATCTCAAAATGCAAATCTAGAGCAACTTTATGCGAAATGAAACTCATGTATTCAGGTTCATCTATATATAGTTAGAAGTGCTTTATAATAAATTAAAAAATATTTTTTTTCACTAATTTTTAATAGAGGGTAAAATAAAACATTTATAATAAAAAGTTAATAATGCGACTTATAAATGAGATTAAAAAAAGTGTCTCTCATCATTTTATAAATAGGATAGAAATATTCTTTTTGTTTTTATTTATAAGATATTTTTAAAAGTGCTTTGGTATTTTAAAATGTAAAATACTTTAATAAAAATAAAATTTTATTAATTATATTTGTTCAATTCTATCATTCTCTTCTTATAAATTATAGCATGTAATGGTTATAATAATACTAATTTAAAATTAGCTGCCCTATTTTTTTATATATAAAAAACTGCATCTGGCCAATACCTTTTGCCATTTCTGCCATTTCTGGTTAATTGTACGAGTATTTGCCAAATTCACTTGTATAACCCCTTCACAATGTTGTCCTCTTTGTAATTTAAAATGGGAAAAATATAATTATCAATTTTCATAGTTTTATCGAGTTTTATTTTTAGTATTTATAATTTTTTAGTATTTTTAATCTCTATAATTTTAAAAAGATTGGACATACGACTTTTATTTTTTATGTCTCTATAATTTCTGTTTTTTTTACTATTTTTAATCCCTCTAAGAATTGAAAATAGTGGAAAAAAACTATAAAGATTGAAAATAAATTTTAATAAAATTATAAATATTAAAGATTATATCTTTCCTTTAAAGTATTGACAGATTGTATCATATTTAATAAAGACTATGCTATTAGAACTTTTGTTGAGTTGGCTCCAAAGGAAAAAGAACTTTTTGTTGACAATTAAAAGAATTTAGTTAAAATTTGGGATGATGTAAAATTGAAGTGTAATTAGATATAAACTTATTGATTTTAGATTATTAAAAAGAAGCTGGGAGAAAATTAAAGTGAATGTACCAATTTAATTATAAGATCTCTATCCTTTGACCTTGCAACTCTAAAAAAAATTATATTATGCAGTCAGCAAAATATGCTCCTTATAAGTTAAAAATTTGGGAGAATTATTTTAAGATCCCACACAACACAATTAAATACTTTAAAGTCTATTGAAGATTGAGCAAAAAAAAATGACAACTAAATATAATTGTTAATAAATCTTGTAATATTTAAATGTGTTGTGTGAAATTTATATACAATTCTCTCTAAAAATTTTGAATCCATATCAAATTCTTGACATAGACACAAGTACTTGAAGTATGAGTTGAGACGGATTTGACATTGACGAAATCATTTCAAAATGATTTTACATGCCAATTAATTGAAAGTAGTAAACGGAGTATTTGGGTAACCACCCCCCTCTCTTTCTATTTATAAAAAAAAATTATTCACACAATTTAAAAAAATTAATTAATTATATTAATTATAGCGGAAAATAAAAGATTTGAATTAAAATACCTTTCATTAAATGTATCAATCAAGTCTTCATTAATTATTTATTATGACTGTGAATAATGAAATTATGAGGGGTAATTTAAAAATTTTATAATAAATGCTTATTAAAAAAATATGATTTTGCCTATATAAAAAATAAACTAAAAATGATAGTTTTTTTTATAAATAAAAACAGAGGAAATATTTTCTTGGCTCTATTTGTTTAATGGGAATTTATTATTAGAATATTGGCCATTTTTTGGGCCGGCCAGCTTCAGATATTCCTAAAACGGATATTTGGACAAATCTCATATATTTATGAGAGTGAATACTAATGTCAGATGTCATTACATAATTGTTGGCACTGTAATTTGTAATGAAAATTAATTATAATGAGAATGTGCATGCACTGACAATGACATATAAGGAAATTAATAGGCTAATACGAGTGGGTGGGTGCATGTTACTAGTTTGAACACACAAACTCATATATTAATAGCGTTCTATGTTAGAGTTCATATACTGGAAATAATAATAAAAAATTCAAAAAAAAAAAATTGGGTTCGTTGAATAAGTACTTGATCATTGTCATGAGGACTTTCTCACTCTTCATCTTATTGTTACCTGAGCATCTATATATACCCTTTAACTTCATTCTGCTGGTGAACTCTGACAATAAGTTGATCAACACTTTGTGTGGCAGAACAGATGAGACCGTGATCTACCAAGAATGCCTCCACACAGATCCCAAAGGCATTGAAGTTAACGGCCCAGGTTCTTCACGTGACTTCTCTCTCTCTCTAGGTATATACACACACGCACGCACACACATGCTTTTTAATCTTAAACTTCTTAATCAAATCCTAGCTCTGTCCTCAATTCAGGGTAACATTGGACAGTGGGGAGATTCATTGGATTGGAATTCATCCTAGGTGAAATTTTTCGTTCCAATCAAGTTTATTATTGTCTCAAGACATGTCCCTACTCTCTAATAAACTTGGGCTCTAATATCATTATCAGAACAGTAATAAATATTTAGGTCATTCTCTATGCTTTAAAGTAAGTGGTAATTTTATACTTCCTCCATCCCAATTATAAGACACTTTTAAAAAAATTTAATATTTTAAAATATAAAACACTTTAATAAAAATAAAATTTTATTAATAATATTTTTTCAAAATTATCTTTTTTATATATTTTCTCTCTTTAATATTCTTTCATCAATGAAGTATTAAATAAAAGGTATTTTTGAAAGTTTATATTTTTATCTTGAAAAGATAAGGTTGTAAAATATATTTAATAAGTTTTATTGGTATGTGAAATTTTATCTAAAAGTGTCTTATAATTTAAGACGACGAGAGTATCACATTTCAATTTAAAATTTTGAAGCGTTGGGATCTAGATTTAATCAATGTGGGACTTCATTTTTTAGAGTGATAGTTAGGTTCCAATAAAGTTTTTATAAATAAAATGTATGTATCAATTTAAATAATTTTAAATTTAGGAATTTTAATTATAAATAAAATATTTAAATTCTAAACATAACTTTTAACTTCCCATTGAGCTTCTTATTAATAATTATCTAAATCAATATTCACAACTTATTTTTTTAAAAAATATTTGTTAGTTAACTAATTGTCATTAAGTATTTACTTTAACATGTCATTCTCTCTCTTTTTAAAGATGAGTTACCTCCAATTTTGAGTTCAATCACACTTAAATTTGAATGTCCATAATATTAAAGGCCATATAGTTATCACCAACAAAAAGAATTTCAGGAAAGCTGATAGCACTAGACTGTGCACAGAGGGACGCAACAAAGCTTCAAGAAGAGACAAGCAAAGCGACGGAGAAGGCGACAGGGAAGTTGAAGGAAGTACTGGATCACTGCTCAGATGATTTGTTTATGGCACAACATGACTTTGATCCCTTGACACGCTACGTTCGAGAGGGATACTACAGTAGTGCAAGGGACGTGCTCACCGGAGAGACCATTCCTCGCATCCTCAATTGCTTGAAAGTCTTCGACCAATTCCCAGATTTGCCTGCCCCTCCTTTGCTCCTTTCTGGCACTGTTGCTTCTAATCAATCTCCCTACGATGCTGCCTCTATCTTGGCCAACATTTAGGGTTTGAATTTTTTTAAAGTTCTCTGTGTCGTGCGAGAAATTGATGATTAATGGAATGATTATATTAGTACTTTTCCTGGCCAGCATTACGTTTGATGTGTCTGTCTGTATATGAACTTTGAACAGAGCCTTTGGCTTCTCAGCCTCTCTTTTAATTTCAAATTAGAAGCTCAGAAATAATGGTTGTTAGTACTTTCTTAAATCCCAAGGTTTAGCTCATTCACTTATTTGCCTACAAAACACGCATAAAATCGCCGAATATGTTAGTTTGTGAACAAACCATGGGACCCTTGGATGTTATAACCAGGAAACACACAGAGATAGGTAAATTATTATTAACTTTATTTGACAAAAGAATAAACTTTTATTTTTATCCATACTTAAATGATTTTTTTATTATATTCTTTTTCATAGTTAATGAATTTAAACAAGAACAGTATTAAAAAAATATATAACTAACACCCCACCAAGTGTCTTATATTAAGGACACTCAATTTCTTTTAAGAAATGTTTTATAATATGAAACAAAGAAAATACTTGATAGTAACACTAATAGGTAGGAGCATGTTTGTATGCTTCAGCCTTCATGCTTGCATGCTTGCATTCATTACCTGTCTCCAACCCAAAGTATTAAAAATTGAACAAGTTATTAAATCAATTAAGGTATTAGTTCAAGTGTTAATAATTAAAACTATAGTCAAATCATATAAACTTGTCATAAATCAATCAAAATATTGGTTTAACAGTTTAATTGTGTGAGTTGTTAGAATATTAGTTGTTAATCTTAATTAGTTGTTAGCCTAAACCTATATAAAGGGATAAGTAGGCATTTAGGTAAGGGAGTTTAATTCTACTTAAGGGAGAGGAGGGGTTAACTTGGTCTTTACCTCATGTTAGTACCCAAGATGAGTTTTGTTCATTACCTAAGTAGGTTTATTAGATTGTAAATTTTTCAAGAAAAGGATTGTGATCTTCATCAATGAATGTTCAATCCTCTTTTTTTTTTTTTTTTTCAGTATAACCATTCGGTATCTAAACTAACATCCCCAACGAATCTGAATTCAAGCACTATGAAGCTCAAGGGAGGTGGTTTTCTCAAGCATAATTTTTCTATTCCCACTGCCTTAGGGATTGAACCCAAGAGCTGGTGGTTAAGAAAACTCAGACCCCTTGCCATCTGAGCTAAGATGTGTTGGTAATGAATGTCCAATCTTCTTAATTCGAGAACATGGTATTATGAGCAAGTTAGTTTTGGGCCTAAACATAAGAGTGTTCGAGAAGTGGGTCAGACATGCAAGATCCAAGACCTACCTTTTACTCAGAAATCACCCAAGAATTGGATCGAATAATAAAAATCCGAAGCCTACTAGAATTAGTGAATTACTATGACCCTTGTTGCCGTTGTCCGTTCTACATCGTGACCATCGTCATTCCTGTTTTCTCGATTAGCTTCTTGCTCCTTCATTCTTCATCTTCAGCGACGATTGAACCCTAATCCTTCGTCACAATTTGTTGTCATTATTCTTTCTTCCTTGCCGTCAAGTTTCTTCCTTCATGGGAATCGGTAGTGAGACATCAAATACTCCCACTTCTACCTCATTCTTTGTTTCTTGTCAAGGAGACACCATCAGTGGCGAAGATCTGTCATAAACGTTTGGCAGAAGACACCGTAATGGTCCTTGATTTTACACGATGTGATTCCTTGATTGGTGCATGAGGAGATAGAATGGCTGGGACGGAAGGAAAGAAAAGAAAGCACAAGAGATTGATGACGCTAAAAGAACTCCAAAGCCCTTATCTAAATAGAGGTCCATTCCTAAGGTTTGACTCTCCTAGCTTCGTCGGATTGATCCTCTATATGAATTCCACTTCCAGTTAGCTACTTGAATATAGATCATTGGTCTCTTGAGATTCTACTCTTGAGGGGTTCTTGCATATTATCTTACTTGCCATGTGTGGGATTCGAAAATATGGGTCAATCTGGGTATTCTTCTCTCCAGTATGGAGATAAAGAGCCTCCAAGGAGGATGAAGAAAAAGATTGACGATATGAGAAGTTGTGATATCAAAATGGCGACAGAAAAGAAGCCGCGCAATGGTTTATAATATGACCCTGTTTGGTTGGAGTTTGCCAAATAAGGGGAGGGGAGCCCCTAGGGGAGGTGGCAAAGGGGACGAGAGGGAAAATTTTTTGAAACCCCTCCCCCCAAACCCTCCAATTGGGAGGGATTCCTCCCCCTCCTTGCCCCCTCCTCCCCCTCCCTCCCTTCCTCTCCCTTCTATTAAAATCCCTCCTCTCCAATCAAACATAGCCATTACGTTGCTGTTGGATCCAAATCTCAAGAGATCAACGTAGTTTTGGAATGGTGGCGAGTGACAGGTTGTTCAGCTTATTATCTGATTCGTGGCTGGAATAAAGTTGCGCAACGTAATAATTTCAAGCTCAATGATATGGTGCAGTTATGGTCTGACGTCTTGAGGATAAATTTGGATTTGCTCTTGTCAAGCTTTTTACATAAGATTTTACATATATTGCAGCAGTTTGATTTTGTATTCATTTCCATTGTAAGCATCTACTAGGAAGGTGCTAATGCATTGGGTTCCAATGCTTCGATATTTTCACTCTGTCGGCTATGAAACTTTGGCAGGATCTTCAACTCCTTAAACCAATCTTACAGTTAAAAAGAGAGTTCTTGAATTTCTAAGAATTCATTCTTGGAAGCTGATATTGTTGGAGATTTTATTTCATCAGTAAGGTGGTCCATTTTCCCGAAAGGGTTGTGAATTTTGCAGAGGAACAAAGAAAGTTCTGTGGCCTATCACCTATGAATTTAGCAACCTACTAATGCCCTTTGGTTCTGTGCTAAAGTCTGAATTTTGGAGCTGGTCAAGACACTTACAGAGAAATGGTGGCAGACTTGGGGAAAAAAAAAATAATGTGGTTCGTGCTCCATCTTTTCTTGTCCTTGGACATGATAGAGCCTGGGCAATAATTAATTTGCCATTATTTCAATATCGCTTGATTCATGCGTGATGCAATGTTAAACTTGTTGCTCGGATGCATGACCATGAAAGGTTATCTTCTTGGTATTTGCCTGCAAGCTGCAACCCCCACTTCTGAGATGAACAAGAGGTCATTCAAGTATGCGTGGGTGCTGGACAAGCTTAAGGCAGAGCGTGAAAGATGAATCGCGATCAATGTTGCCTAGTTTAGAAATGCTGTGGGGGCCAGTGATTATGGCAGTGGCCATGTGTGCTTTGGAAGAGAAGACTGTGTTTGAAGGCAATAATATTTTTCGTCAATGAATGTTCATTCTTCTTAATTTAAGTTAATAATTCTCAACATAGGTTGACCCGAAATATAATATTCTCACAACAGCAATATTCTCTATTCATGAAAACTTGAACCCAAAATTTTATTCGGGAGGATCAGATGCCAAACCTGTGGTGTTGGGGTGGTGCTACACACCTCAATCATGCTCTTAAATTTTATTCCGTTCATATTTTTGTTACATTTTTTCTTATTATTTTGTTCTGGATAAGTTAGACTCCAATTATTTGTGACCCTACTAAAAATTCAAGCTTTAAAAAAAAAAACGAGGTTTGAGTGTTTTCCCTTGATATAAATAGTTCTAAATTATTTGAATGAAAAATAGGTTACCATATAAAGTAACCATGGCTATACTTTCATCTGTAGAGTTCTGATAGATAGTGATCCAGAAAAGGAAAGAAACGAATTTGAATAGATGCCAGGAACAAGGAGGAGAAAGCTTATATTCTGTTGACTCCATTCCCTGGAATCTGGGAGTCATGATCAACCAGAAATGGAAATAATTTAAACTAACAGCTAAGGGCATTTGAGAAAGCCGAAGGCTCAAGTAGTAAATAGGGAATCCGTGCAATAATTGCCAGCATGAACCATTCTCACTCTGTTAAAAATTATATAAGAGGAAAGTAGACCTTAAAGACATAGTAATAATACTACAGTTTTCTTTTGATGCAGATGTGTAGATGAACTGGAATCTCTTCTCTCAAAGCATGGTAGTCTTAGGAAGCTGTACTTCTATCACCAACATCTCACAGCTGTGAGTGCCCATACATCTGGAAGAATAGAATGAGGCTATGGCATGAACCCTTAACCTTTGCTGCAACATCAGCATTTCTTAAATAAATGGGAAACTACTATATGATATGAATATCTGGCACATTATATCTTCATGTTAGTAAAATTGAGAATAGAATGAGGCTATGACATGATATTCGTTATTTGTTTCAGACTCATGATTGAAACTTGAAAAGTTAATGGTGTCAGTTCGACTGCAGGGGAGGAATTAGTTTTATTCTTTTACCTATTCGGGAACAACCGGAGAAGCACACTCTGGGAAACTGCTAGCGATCCCAAGCCATGCACAGCAATGTTGAGGTCATCCTTCTGGACCAAACATGGTGTTCCGAAATGCCTAATTTAAGAATATAACTCAGGCAATTAGCAAGTGAGGTTGGGTTTTTAGGATGAAAGGAAAGTATGAGTCCATGTCTGAATCAAAGATTTATCACTGCAGATAGAAAACTAGCCCCTATTTTTTTCTCGTCCTTTTCTTCCAGATGTATTGGCACTCAGCTGTGAGACGTTGGTGATAGAAATACAGCATCCTAAGACTACCATGCTTTGAGAGAAGAGATTCCAATTCATCTACACGTCAGTTGGGGATGTGGACCCCCATGGTTATGAATTGGGAATCCATTCCACTATAAGTCACTCACTAATAGATTAATTATAATTATATATAGATTTTCACCGTTTTACATCAGTTGTTTTTGGAGATCAATAGTGTTCTCCGCTCATGACAGAGATTGATTTTCCCGATTTAAAAGATATATGACAGGCTTCTTTCAATTAAATTTACTCTATTTATTAAAATTAAAAATTAAACCCCCGACTACTTGATCAAAAAAACTAGAGATCATGTCATCAAGTGTTTTCCAAAAACGAGTTAAAAACAGAGAAAAAGAAAAGGGCATCCTTATGGGTCATGAATCACGTGTTTTGGAAATGATCAACTACATTAATTAATTGCTAGTGTCGGTCATTGGCCCACTGAACAGTGAAACAATTGCAGAAGCATGATGGCTGGCAAAACAAAACGCAACTACTCTATTCACAGTCACGTGCTTTCTTTTCCACCACAACAAAACGACATGTCACATATCCTCAAGATGACCGGAGGACAACAAAGATAAAATAGCCTTGAATCAGATTCTTCTTTAGAAAGATGATAAAAAGCATCATCGGGTACCTTAAATCTCCGCAGCTCCTTCCCTGTCTTTTGCTCTCCATGATCAGAAGAACAAAGCAAGATGAAGGTGAAGCTTCTTCTTGTTTTTCATGCTTCTTCAGCTTCAGTCCAAGGACGACATGGATGGTTGGGAAGAAAGTGATGCTGGGTTCTGGAAAGATCTATGGTTTTGGAATGGATGGCTTTGGGAAAATTCATTTCTGCATTCAATGATACAGAAAAGAGCTGGGAGTTGTTCTGCAACAAGTAATTCTAGCTTTTTTTTTTTTAATTATAACATAAATATATAGGAAACAAGTCAGAAGAAAATTTATTTATTATTAGTATATATAATGTTTCGTTCAATCACATCTGTAAAATATAAGATGTAAGAAAGAGTTGAAAGTTTATTAGTAAATGTAGTTGACAAAAACCTTTGTATTTATTATTATTAGTTGGCAATGGAAAGTAGAAAATTTTATCATCTTTCTGTTTCTTTAAAATCTCATCTATGCTGACAAAATGCTTGCATTAATGTCTCACAGAAAGGTTAAGAAGAATCTTACTTCATTATTAGCTCAGTTAGATCACAACTCCAGATCTTCTTAAAGATAAGAGATAATGCAGAAAGATTAAAGAGTTCAGGGATATAACTTGAACTCTAAAATTTACTACCCGTTGTACCTCTTGTGGATGCCCAGCATGTTCAACCTCAGTATCTATACAAGAACAGAGCAAGATGGCCAATCAAGCACTAGTCAAGTTTAAAACTATTTCCATGTTCATTAAAACCTTTTCAGTTGTGAATCATGGTGAAGAGAGGGAAGGGGGGGTGAGGGATTTTGATACCCTAACTCTAATGTTTCTGAATGCAGTTTCAAGGTGAAAACACTTGGGAGAAAGTTTTGAATACAAAAAAAAATGTCCTGAAGAAAGCTGGCCAACATTAAAAAAAAAAAAAAAATCAGACATGTCTAAATATCTATCTACCTGTGATTCACTTTGTCTGTTTGCTTTTATGTAAATTGGGCATTCCTAAATCTTCCCAAAGTAAGCCAAATTAGTAGCAACATGGAAGGGAAAAAATGGCAGAAGAGAGGCGACAGAAGGTTCAAAGCTAAGGAAGAAAGTTTAAGTGTTGATTATATGGTTAAGCCTTTTGTATATAACTAATTTCAATTAATTTTTTTTGTGCTTAAAATGATCAAAATGTTTATTACATGGGATTTTATGGGATTTTGATATTTGATCAAAATGCAGATAGATGCATTCAATGAGAACACCTAACTTATTTGTAGTGCATAGAGTATCTTTTTCGGAGAGCCGTAGATTCTTTTTTAAGGCAATCACAATTCACATGGCACTTAATTATTTTTTTGTATAACTTTTTGAACCACAGATGTTTCCTTTTTTTTTTCTTTCGTTTTTTTTAATAATTTAACAATGTTCTAGCAGAAGCCACTTTAGTAATTCCTGACACACCATATTCATTTGACCAAAAAACCTCATGCTTAGCAGCTTTGGGTATTAGAATGGCGTAAATAAGTGATAAAAATCATTGTTTTGGTGAATCTGACTTCCTCATTTTATAGTTTTCCTTCAAGAAAATCAGAGACACCCAATTAACATCGCTTTTTACTATCGCATTTCAATGGGGATGACTTTTCTATGATGGTAATGCAGGAGGAAGGTGCATATTGATCAATTTAATCTGAAAATGTTAGCTATACTTTAACTGGGATTTTTTGCTTTGAAAAAACTATTATTTAAAGATATAATGTTTAGATAAGATACTGAATGTTTCTTAAGTTCTTGCTTATGCAAAAAGATGAAAACACCCCCTCCTGTCATAGGCTTGTTATATATGTGTGTGTGTGTGTGTGTGTGTGTGTGAATTGAAAAGTAGAATTGAGATTTGGGTTTTGGTTTTTGTTACTGTGCTTTGGAATCGTTAAACCTCAGTCACACTTGATGGAACCCAGCTCCAAATGCTACTCAGGCAGTGTGTTAAGCCCAACCAGAAAATTACAGGGCAAAATAGCAGAAAAGGCACACTAACCCTAGACCCTCCCTAGACCTCACGCTCCCATATACCCCTAAACAATAGGACCCCTCCCTCTCTCTCTCTCTCTCTCTCACTCACACACCCCAAACACTTTATGTAACTCAGCTTCGGCCCACTATTGACGGGCCTCTAGACACTGCAGTCTCAGCAGACCTCGGCCTAAGAGGGGAGAGAGGGACACTGCAAAAAATTAGATTCTAGCCAGAGAAAATGAAAATCTACTTCTAGGTTTTTGGAGGTAAGAAAAGGAAGAAATCGATTAAAACAAGTCTGTAGATATGAGTTTGAATTCAGAGAACAGCATCCCCATTATTTTCTGTAGGAAGCATATATTCATTTTGCATTGATGAGCCCCTCCATTCAAGGTTTATTCTAGAGGGTCCAAGAAGGAAGGAAGAGGAAAGGAACACTGTGAGTAGCTTATTGCATAACAATTTTGGACTGTTGCTCTTGTGATGAGTGGGTTTTGTCCAGTCTGTTACAGAGAGAGGTTTGAAAACAGGGAGGAGTCAGAGTGAAGATTCAAAGAAAAATTACAGTTGGTTTGGAAGACTGTTAGCTCCTAGAAGGCCTAGCACTTAGTTTAATTTTTCTACACAGTTTCCTGTTGCTGTTTTGTTATTTTCTACGACTTTGGTTCTATTGTTGTGAAGTTTTTCCGGTATTTTCAGGCTCTGGCATGCGGATAGACCAGTGCCCAAACAAACCTAACAGGCATTGATGCAGCCCTGATCATTTGTCACCCCCATTCTCTTAATTAAAATTAAGTTTCAACATAAGGCATAGTGTGTATGCGCTTTGTTTAATGTGAATGAATGTTTTAATAAGATTATACAAAAACAACTCATCATCTGTCACTCAACACTTGTATGTGATTTTTGAAACATACAACTGATAGACATGGAATCCGGTTTGAAAGCAAGTGATTCGAGGAGGTCTGCAATCTGCAGTGTCTCAATTAAAAGAAAGAAGAACTCAATGACAGATAAACATGTCTTTTCAATATTCATTTTGTTCAGCATAACAGCTTCAATACAAGACTTGACTCACATTTGAAACAAATAAAGCTAAGGCAGAGAAATCCCCTGCTCAACCTATACACCAGGAAGAACAAGGAACAAGACAAATAAAAATGAATACCAAAGTAGTTCCAGGCCTTTAATTTGATGATTTTGTGGTTCATTAAAGATAAGGAACAGCTACTCTCTGTGTGTCGGGTCCAGCAAGCATATCATTCCATAGCAAATCCGAAAGGAGCATTGTTAATTTTCCAACACTTCCTGCCAAAATTAAATGACTTGGTGAATTGATGAATTATAGGAGGAAGAGGGAAAGAAACAAAGGTTCATTTCTCAACACAATTACCCAAGAGGTTGCAGTTTAGTGATATTCATTAAACATAAATAGGAGTTAATTCTGATACATACAATGGTATTTTTTTAGAGCAAAGTGGGGGGCATATGCAATTTGGTATATAGTATCACTACATGCAGAAAAGCGGCTCTATAAAGTTATCGTCAGAAGAGAACTTCCATGATCAGAACCTCCATACTATTGAAAGAACACGTGTACCAAGAAGTTAACCAAACGTACCATTGCCAATAGGTTGATCATCCCAGGTGATGATAGGCAATAAAGGAAGAGTGCTTCCTACAAACATCATTTCAGCAGAGCCTTTAGCTTCCTCCATGGTTAAATTTTTTGTTTTTATACCTTTCAAATGCCCTTCTTCCACAAGTTTGGGTGCAAGTTCAAGAAGCCTTCTAGCAGTGCACCCATGTAGGATCTTATCAAACGGAGGCATGACAAGTTCCTTCTCTTGAGTTATAAAAGCAACATTCACATTTGGACCTTCAGCAATATGACCTTCCTCATCAACCCATATAGGAGCAAACGCTCCTTTCTCTTCTGCTTCAAGTTTTGCAAGGACATTTGGAAGATAATTCACATTCTTCATTGTTGCAAATAGAGGTGGCTTCATGGGGATATTGGATGTGATCACTTTAACCCCATCTTTGCACTGCAAAAAGTCGTCATCAATGACTACTGCATAGAATGCCGGTGTTGGGCATCCTGCTGATGATAGCAAGAAATCCCCAGGACCTGCACTTAACCAGAATCTGAGAGTTCCTTTCTTGCACTTTGATGCAGCAGTTAGTTGAATGAGAATGCTTCGAAGAGCCAAACGAGAGTGGGGAGACGATATCTTTGCCTTTGACGCTGACCTGAGAAAGCGATCAAGGTGTACATCCAACTCATAGAGGTACCTAGTAATGATAAACACCAAATGCTGCCCAAAGTCAGAGACAGAATAATTTTTCAGTTAAAAAACCTGAAGAGCAAAGATTTCTTCTGAATGTTTCAGCTCACCCATCAAAAATAATTGCTGTATCAAATACACCATGCCCACGATGAACCATGTGATCATCAATGGGAATTACCATCATTGCAGGATCAAGTATGATACCCCCATATATACTCGAATACATTGCTGGGTATGGTTGTTTTTCCACTAGACTCCACGTTTTGTGAAGCTTTTCAAGCAACTGAACAATGCAACACCAACAAAAATATGCAGAGATGAATGAATAAACAAATGAAAGAAAGAAATTCCTCCAAATGCCAAGTTGTATTTGGGAGCTTACTGAACCTAGAAACAACCACCTGTGTTGTTAATTAATTCAGTCATCATGTGAGTTAGGTTAAAGTATACACTGCAAAGATGTAGCATGGCACTCAAATTCATTTGCATATAGGCCATACACTAAGATGTACCACTGGAAAAGCTAACTCAGGCATGAGGCAACTTCATAATTTGTCAATTTTGCATCAATTAGACTAAAAATTTGGCCTTTGGATTGTTAAAAATATATATTTCTTTCCCCCATAAATTATAAGTGAAAGTTTTAGTTCCTCAAAATATCTGCCTCACTGCAACAAAGTTTTGTTATTGGATACCTGTACAGTTTCTGAGTTTTTATAACTAAAGCGAAATCTGGTCCTTTTTCTAATTTCTCTTACCCAGATTAACTCTAAACCAGGGAGGGTCAGCTTCAACTTCAACTGTAACACAAATCTTCGTCATATGAAAAGCAGCCCAAGTAAGAACCTCACACGATATTGAGAAATGAGAACGAAATAATAAATTCGATATAAAAATCTCACCTCTGATGATGAGGAGAACACGTGAACTCTAAAGTCACTTTCATTTCCAACCTCTGATAAATCCACACAAAAGTTCAACAAAACAACACATCAAAGAACACGATCTGAACAATGACGATACACCAACAAAAAAATACCAATCGAGTTTGATCATGAAATTTGAAAGTGAAACAGAGTTCATACGTAACACTAACCCAGTGACTTTTCGGAGGACGTGATGGATTCTGTGTGGTTTTCCATCGAACAGGAAGAAAGCAGAAAGATAGAGCCAATCGCAAAAGAGTGTATAGCAGAGATGGGGCAACAAATCTGGGCAAGATTTATACTGATATAACAACAGCACTAAAGGAAGGCCACGACCTTTTTATTTCCTTTTAAAATTACAGTAGGGGGGATGCGACTGAAAGTGCATACTACTGTAAGATCAAACTTCTCTACTGTGAAATTTGTTAAAAAAATATACTTTTATAATCAGAAACACTAGAGTGTGAAGGTAGGTTTATGAAGCGCGGGCATTGATTGGAAAAAAGTGGATTTATTGTTTGTCTTTTCGTCACCAGACAGCTCTCCATAATCAACAAAGTAAACGTCGAGGCCTTCGGCCAAAAAGACTCCGCCTTTGTCACCTTTTATTTGTCTGATCGGCGGATTCTTCTTTTGCTCATATCTCCCACTCAGCATTTCTATCTTACATTCATCGTAGATCACCCGTTCGAAAAAAAATTACATTCAATTTTGTTCGCATGTGCGGGTGCACACTACGTAGATTTTATTTTATTGTTTTTTGACAAGAGCACAACTTTCCCGGTTTACAGATTTTTCAGTTTGGTCCTCTAATTTCATAGAGGGTTTAGTTCTAATCCTAACATTGCTATTCCTGTTTAAGCACAGCCGAAGTTTAAACATATGTACGGTGCAGCCTAAAAAAAAAAAGAGTTAAGATCCATTTTTGCCTATGTACTTATTTTTTAAAAATATTGGACACCCTATACTTTTAAGTGGAGTATTTTTATTCCTGAATTTTTTTTATGAACAAAAAACTCTCTCCATTAATGAACTATTAACTCTACCGTTATATGCTGACATGGCATGTCCGTAGGACTCACATATAATCACAAGTCAAATTTTGACCATGTCCTTTAATGTTAATTTACCTTTGAACTCTTTTTCTAAGGGCTAAGCACCTTAAAATTTTTTTAAGAGCACTAAGCACCCTGAAATCTTGTTAAACTAAAATTTAATAAATATTGTTAAAATATTAAATATTTTAATATTTAATAGATTAAATATATTATTTAAAATATTACACCATCCAATTTAATATTTTAATATTTTAAATATTTTATAATTTTGTATTTAAAATGAAAGAATGAACCTCCAAATTAACGAATGGGTTTTTTCTTCTCATCTCTCCATTTTTTTTTGTTAGGTAACTTTTTTTAGCACATTAATGAAATAAGAGATGTCTTTTAAATAAATATTTTTGTTGCCATTTTGTTAGTTTTGATTATCATATTTCTAATATTACTCCTAACACTGTAATGTACAAAGAATATTAAATTTGGATAGTGCAATCTTTTGGAGGAAAATCGTTAGTTAACCCAAAAAATTAAAGAACTTAATCAATATTAAAAATATTAATAAGTTCTGATATGCACAAAAAGCGCAATGATTTGGACACTATCTCAAAAAAAATTAAATATCAATATATAAAAAATAAGAAGTCATCTATAAATTTATAAAATATTAGTTTGAATTATTAATATTTAAAAAGTAATTTATAAATTTTGAATGTATATTTATAAATAATAATATTTAAATTATTAAATATGAAAGTATTTAATATTTTGGTAATATTTATTAAATTTTATTTTAATAAGACTTCAAGGTACCGGGTGTTACTAGAAAAAAACTTTAAGATGCTCAACGCTTCTAAAAAAAATTCAAAAGCAAATTAACGCTAAAAGACATAGTCAAAATTTGACTTGTCATTGTGCATGGATCTCAATATGCCACGCCGGCATATAACAGCAAAGTTAGCAATTCATTAATGGAAGGGGGTTTTTGCTTTTAAAAAAATAATTTAAGAATAAAATTCTTCTACTTAAAAGTATTAAATATCCAGCACTCATAAAAAATAAATATAAAGATAAATTTGGACCTTAATCCAAAAAATAATAACAACAACAATCTACCACCTACAAAGTTCACACTTTACGCAAAGGGAAGGGCTGTCTAGAGCAGTTCAAATTTAAAATTTTTTTATTTTTATTTTATATTTATTATAGTAAAATTTATAAATTCAATAAATTTAGTCATCATCAATCTACACAATTTATATTTAATTTAAATTCTTCAAATTTAATATTAATTTTTTATAAATTAACTTTGTAGATTTATTCTGTTTAAATTTAAAAATTTTAACTTGTAATTTAAAAAAATGGAAAATAAAAATTAAGAAACTATCTTTTTTTTCAATGTTGTATTTATTAAAATAAAAACTTATAAAAATATTTAAAAATTAATATTAAATTTTGATTATTTAAAGTAAATCTATATAATCAATTTATAAAAATTATAAAAAAATTAATATTGGATAATGTAAATTATCAAGATTAATTATTAGCACATTTATTAAATTTTTATTTTAATAAATAAAAAAGCTTTAAATGTAAATTGTTTCCAGAAATTAAACATGGATGATGCAGATAAATTTAAGGTGCCGAATGTGCTCCCCACAAATGGCAGTCTTGCTCAATGCCGCCTCACCACTCAATACTTTTTTTTTTGAAAAAAAAATTAAATTAGTGACGTAATAGTAATTTTTAAACCATCTAGTGACAAACAAATTGAAAGCATACAATTTTTTTTATAAAAATTAGTTTAATATTTTTTAAACAAATATATAGGACTAACATTTAAAATTTTCAACCAATGTTTTGAAACCCGAACCAAACATTGTACCGGAAAGAGCAACAGGTCACGATTTTCATGGTCTAACCGGTTAGACTGGCGATCAAATTGGTGACATAAAAATTAAATAAAAAATAAAATTTATATTTGCAATTATATAAATAAAATATTAATTTGTTAATGATGCTTGGGACCTCGACCCCAAAAGCTAGATATTTGGATCATTAGAGCTAGAGGTAGAAACATGTCAGTACAAGCTTGTGATCTCAAAAAAAAAATGTTAGAGCTGGAGGCATACTATCATGTCATGACTCACAAGCTTTTCGATATCAATGCTAAAGATTAGATCTTTAGAGCTGGAGACAGATGTTGGAGGAGAAGTTAGAGATTGAGTTTGGGCCATGAAGGAGAAATTAGAGATTAGAGAAGAGAAGAAAAGAGATAATTAGTGATTAGAGAAGAGAAATTGTGAATCTAAGCAACTTAGCTTAATTTTTTTTTAATTTTTTTTGGCTTTGAACCGGGTTGACCCGGGTTGACCAGGGTCCGATTCCCAAGTCAAAATCGATTCTCTCAAAATTGGTCGGTTCAACCCAGGTCAAATACTAGATTGGTTCAATTAGTTGAACCGGACTGTTTTCTTCAACAGGTGACAGTTGGACCGATCTGACCGTTTGGTCCGATCTTAACAACATTGTTTTCAATGCAAAATACAAAATAGCATGGCGAAATTGGAAAATTTCAAAGCTATTGCTATACAATGGCAATTGTGAAATCAACACTACCAGGTCCAGAAGATATATTTTTCATGCATATTATAGAATTTGAAAAAAGATTTTAGTATTAAAATTTATATTTTATTAACAAAAGTGTACTAAGTCCTTTAACTTCACATATGTTTCATTTTAATTTATTAATTTTTTTAAGTATGTTTTTATCCTCTAATCTTAATATTGTTAATTTCAGTAATAAAAAATCAATATTAAACTTTTAAATATTAATAAAATACTATCAAATGTTGTGTTTTTTTTTTTGACCAAATATCAAATGTTGTGTTGACATATTAAGTTTTTGTTTCATGACAATTATTGACTATTGATATAAAAAAAATCATAATTTAAAATTAATAAAATTACAAAACAAAGGGGGAATGGCACCAGAGGCGATCCTAGATCAAAGAAGTTTGCAACTAAGGATTTAATAAATTCCAAATTCATTCTGTAGGCTCAAAGGACTTACATGCAAATATGCTTTATGGTGAAAATGCTCATTTGCCCACCGTTTGAAAAAATAACATCATGCACAGAACATTATACTTTTAATATATGGATATTATCATATTATATACAAATATTCTATTATTTATACACTTGAAAAATTTATACATTATTATTTAATTAACCCATGTAAACTGTGTATAATGAACTGATATTGTGTTGTTAATATATGAAGCTTATCATGTTATATATGAACATTTTATTGTTCATACACCTGAAAAAACTGGTGCATTTCAAATAAGAAACAAATGAAACTTTTCACCCAAAAATATACTTGCAAATAAGACTTTTAGGCTTGCATAATACATTTAAAATGTAAGTGCCAGTTTCTTTTATCAGGGGGAGGTGCCATTCTCCCAAAGCAAAGCCTTCCGGACCAGAGTTTTTCTTCATCAGTGAATTTTTAAAACAATGATGCCCTTATTTTTAAACTATAATGAATTACATTAAACCTCATTTAAAAAAAAAAATATTGCAGACAATGTCTGGAAGAACGAGTCTAGTTAAATCGAATAATTTGTCAAAGTTTTTATTTGTTTACTTATTTTTTGGAAAAAAGGGAACTTCAGACATGTGCATGCCCGCAACACCAATAACTCGATAACTTCAGATTTAGATCCTTTACAATATGAAGTTGCAAAACACCTGTGGAGTACTCCCTTAATTGCCTTATAAGATAATTTTTGGGGTAATTCGATGCTCTATAATATAATTTTTTAGAAAAATAACAATTCATTAATAAAACTTATTTCTAAACTACTTACTTATTATTTCACTCTTTAAATATTTTTTCCTCTCACTTTTCTTTATTGAATGAAAAGTAATTTTGGATATTTAGATTTTTTTTAAGAGAAATCAAAATTCCAAGCTGTAATCAATTAAAATCGGTATGAATGGTAAAGATTTTCGTCACTTAAACAAGTAATTGGGAATTTGAATTTTAAACCTTGTATATGTAAAAATTTAGTTAGGAGAAGTTTGTTCATTGTTCTTAGTATTTTAAGGTTGATATTCTCAAGTTGTTAGTGAAGCCTTATGCTTACCCAAAAAATATTCCAAGCTGTTTCTAATTGATTTAATTATCCACAACTTTATCAATAAAAAATGTCTCATAACATGGGCCAAGGTAATATAATATAATGAAAAGGGAGTGGACTTTATAGACACCCACTTTTTGAGTTACCTTCATCTGAGAACAAGATATCACTTTGAGCTCAAGTCTTATCATATTATGCATTTCCAGTAAAAATATCCAAGCCTATAGGCGACTATACGTTACATTAAGGGCATCTTACCATGCTAATGAAGTGGTTTTAATAAATTACTTCCTTTGCAGGAGAGATTTAAGGCACTGGCATAATATAACGAAGAAAAGAGTAGCTAATTTAATTGTATACTTGATATGGCTTTCACCACTTTCTGGCGTGCCTTCTATAGAATGATTTTGTCCTTCCCATAGCCTCTTCAAGAGCAGATGGATCAACAGCGAATGTGATTCGGAGCCAATCTTTTAGCCCCACCGCAGTTCCTGCATGGGATTGTCATTCCTAAATGTTAAGAAATTCAAGAGCAAAAAAAGCTTTTGGGAGAGATATTCCAAATTAGACTCGACAATACTTGAATATAACTCAATCAAATAGTCTATTAAAAAAAAAATAATCAAGAGCAAGCTTGTAGTCAAACCAGCAGAATCAAAGACTAACAGACTTCTTATACTTTGATCTATAATCATCTAGCGGTTTTAATTATGAAGATTATGTTTCATGTAACAAAAAGCAATGAAATGTGGATTGCTTATTTAACTCCCGTGATGGGCCTATTATATGTAAGTATATCAACAAGATTAACAAGCAGTGAATTAGTTAACAGAATCTCAGATATAATAAGTGCAGCAGATACCTTTAATTTTTTTCTGTACAAATGAAAGCTTTCCAAACAAAAAAGCGATGCAAAAAGCAATAATTTAAGTATGATTTGCTCATTTGTACCTGGAAGAATGATGACAGATTCCTCCTTCGCAAGCTTGAAACAGAAATCAATATCATCACTGATATCATCCAGAAGTGAAAGATTGAGTTTAACCTGTATGCAGAGTTGGTAATAAATACCAATGCTGATATAATGACATTGATTCTGTTCAAAAGGAAATTCCAACAATGCTATGAACTCACCATCATAGCCATAGACCCATCAGGTTTTTGAGGGCAAAAAATGCATGGGATATCCTCTATCTCTTTACAACATATATCTGAGGTATGCCTTAACATGTTTAGGGTTTTGATGAAGAAAACATCTTCGGTCTCTTTAATTATGCGAGGTACAGCTGCCTGTCAGATCAGAACTTTTATCAGTCAGATATAATCAAGAAGCAATCAATTATCAATTAATAATATAAAAGATAAAGGTAGAGTAAGCAATGAATCAAGAATAAGGATTACACATGAAAAGGAAAAAAAGGAAAAGAAAGAAAGAAAAAGAACATCATATCAAAATTACTTCTCATGGTGATGCCGAATTTTTTTGTCAAAAGATTAAGCGAGTTTATTTCCAGCCTAAAAATCTAAAGATAAGAGTAGTCTACCTGTCTAGGGTTGTATTCTTTCAAATGCAATAGTTTATTTGCTTCTCTTCTTAAAACCATTAAGATCTCAAATCATAGTGCTTTTCTCTTCTTTCTTTCATTTTCTTTTCCTTCCAAAATTATTGGTAAATCCTGTCCAGCATATTGAGTTACTTTATTTGGCAATGTTATTAACACTAGTGGCCAGCTTAAACTTTGATAATTGACTTCTTGCAAGAAAGAATCGTGCAAACCAAGAGATACAAAACCTGGATGAAGGTGGCTGGACCTCCCAAAATATCAAAATACTTTTTTATTCTCTCAACAACCTGCATAAGTAAACATTGGGTTGATGGCATCAGATAAGATGGAAAAATGTCAAATGTTAAAAACCTTAATCTTTTTAAAAGTAATAATGACATCATTCAACTATAAAACATTCATATTTTATATGTGTATGACAACAAAACAGTCGAACTAGCCAGCCAATTCTGAACACCAATTTATTACCATTTAGAGATGCTAACAAAAAGGAAATAAAACTTTGAGAGATAGAACATGAACAAATATAATCAAGAAACGCCAATCCCCTTTTAAATCATGAAAGAACATGATTTACATGTTCGCAGCGTGCTGGTCCATGTAACTATGGGAGCAATGTTCACAAGCAACATGCAGGTTAAAGCTTAATTCCACATATATGATTATATAGAAGTATTGAAGTGTGTTGATCACTGAAGGTGGAAGGAAGAGAACCTTGGGTTTCCTAAAAGTTCCACATGGATCATTTGTCACAAGCCAACCAATTCTCCACCCAGGAACTATCCATCTCTTAGATAGGGACCCAAGTGTTATAATAGGAACATCAGATCCAAAAACTCCCATTGGCACAAAAGGACTGGCCCCAAATGCAAGATGACCATAGACTTCATCAGCAATCACAACAGTTCCAAGCTTCTTAGCGGTTTCTGCAATCTAAGTGCAACATGCAGACCATTCAATAGTTAATAGTTTTTTCTGTTGATACTCCCAATCCTGGAAACGTTTTGTGCCAGTTATTTCATCTGAAGCCAAATCCTAAACAACTAAGTCACTAACCTTCTTTAAATGATGGTAACTGTACACATTTCCACAAGGGTTTCCAGGGTTTATGATCACCAATGCGATTGTGTTCTGATCTGCAAGAGATTCAACAGCATCCAGATCAACCTCCCAGCCTTTCTCTGGAAGAAGATCATAATGGCGAACTTCAACATGTCTGAATGCAGCACAAAGATCGTAGATAGGGAAGCCTGGTCTTGGAAGCAAGATGTTTGCTCCCGGGCGAGCAAGCATTGCCACTGAAACATCAATAGCTTGAGTGCATCCAGAAGTAACAAAAACATCATCGGATGTTAACTTGTAGGGAAGATCACGGGACAGATATTCAGCAATTGCTCTGTCACCGAGAAGTAATAAAAACATCATCAGATGAAACAAAAACCCAAACAAGTAGATGTTTTAAATTATTTCAGCTACAAGTGCAAAAAATGAAGCTGAAAATACTTCGTGTGAGATATCCGATTCCCATTCTCAAGCTTGGAGAGGATCAATAAACCAAGAAACTGAAGCAAAATTGTTAAACAGTACAGTGCCACTTGTAGGTTTCGAATCAGCAGAAACAACAGGAAGAATATTCTCTTATAGGTAGACCGATCAGAGAAACCAAGACTTGACTTGAGTTACTTTCAGCAACTAATTTAGCATTTGTTTACTTCATATAAGATTGATAGCATTAATTATGAATCAAAAGGTACAGTTTCGATTCGAATTTAGAGTTATATGAGTTGGATCTAGCAAAAAGAACTAGTCCCTTACAACATAAGAACCAAAGTCCAAATTCTTGCCGAGAGAGGTGCTTATATTTAATACCTGATTATGCCTCAATTTGGAATTAGCTCCAATAAGAAAATACATGTAAGTAATCAATAGGTACAGTTATATAAATACCCCCACCTACTTTAAAGACTGAAGGGGAATAAAGCCACTATAAAATCTTGAAAGACTTCTCAATTGGTTCCAACTCTAAGTCTATAAATGTATGAAGTTGCTGAATTGATAATCAGAAGAAGAAAACAAAAACAGTAAGTAGCAGAAGAGCCTAAACGGTCTTGTACACAACATTTCAAAAACTAACAGCCAATTTAAGCAGTGGCTATCTTTCAGTTTCACAGTAATAATCAAAACTAAGAAAGAAAGGACGCACCCAAGGAAATTCCTAAAAGCAAAAGGGACAAAATCCAGAAACATGAAGATTGAAGAGCGATAAGAAATCGAAATCCACATATATAGACAAGGAAATACAGTTACCTTCTCGTTTGGAGGAGACCAACGGTAGGAGCATAACCATTGAATTTCTGAGATTGAAGCGTATCAACTACAGCTTCCTGAGCAACATCAGTGGTGTGGAAGCAAGTATAAACAGAAGGGTCGCCCATACCCAGAGAAATCACTCTCTTGTCACCATCTTTCCCGTCAACGCTTTGCATTAGGAGGCTGAGAATCCCTTTAATGGTGATGGTTGAAGCAGTTTTTGCTTCGTGATTCATGGCCGCTCCATTTTCCATGGCTAATCGGAATCTACCTCTACAGTTTCTCAAAGTTTGGTTTGCGGTTTTGGAAGGATATGAGCTTTGTTCAGTTCTCTCAAGGCTTGGAAGTAGAAGAGGATTTTCGACTTTTCGCAATATAGAAGACGGAAGATTGATGGGCGTGTCCTTTATTGTGAATAAGAATTTGATTTTTCATAACCACACGCTTCTTCTTCTATGCATGGAACCAAATTTGGCGGCTTCTTCCATGAATACAGGTCCAGTAAAGAACACATGTACTTCACAAACCTGTAACATTTTGAGAAAATTAAATAGAAATATTAATAAATCATCATTAATTCGTATGATTAGTTCTCAATTGTTGACGCATGCCAAAGAAAACGATCGTGTTTATTTATTGGACTTAAAAAGTTTTGAACTAAAGAAAGAAGAAAAAGGGCCTCCTACTATGTCATCTGATTTCTGAAAGCTCCATGGACCATGGCAAGGCAATCTTTATAGCACGTATCTTTTTTTCTTATTGCTTCACTTTCTCACACGTATCTTTGTGACAACGATGACGAGGCGAATTTATGAAAAATCGTAATTAATAAGTTAGAATAAAAACATATATTCGATTCTATTAAAAATATAATGCATTTGTTTTGGGATTTTTTTAGCAAAATAGAGTTCATTTTATTAATCATTAAGCATTTTTATGATTAAATATTTAAAAATATAAGGTATTTTTAATTTTTTTAATATATAATTAATAATTTTTTAAAAAATGTACTTAATAAATAAATCAGTCAACTTTTCATCTTTAAGTGAAATATTATATTAAGTAAAGATAAACATAAAAAGTTAGTATTGATTTAAAGACAATTAACTAACTCATTAAAGGTGTGGTTAGATTAAAATGTTTGTATTTTTTAATAAAAAATAAAAGATAATTGGTTAAATCGTTTTTGTAAAGTGTTTGAGACCCTTTTGACATCAAATAGAAAAATCATTATACTACTTTACTTATTAAAAAATAGCTTTTTTAATTATACTCTTATTAATTAAAGAAATATAAATATTATTAAAAAATGTAATTAATAAAAATATGAGAAGGACACTTTATTATTTGTGCAAGGCCCCCATGCTCTCTGAAGTTTCAAGAATATTATTAAAACTAAAATGTAAAAAATGAGATATTGTTTAGTATTTTTGCAGGACATCTTATAGTGGAAACCAATTTTTATTTTTTGTAAGAAAATTTAAAACCTAATATTGTTACAAGAAAATCATGATCAAGAATGCTAATTTATAATCACAAACTAAACTTTTATATAACTTGAAATTTTAACGGTTTTTTATATTTAAACAACCATTAAAATAAAAAAATAATAGGAAAAAACTGTTGCATTACATTCCAAATATGGTTGGGCTGGCCACTTGTACTTGTGTTCCCTCACCTGACACGTGTCTATCTTTGCAGACACCAAAAATTATTTTAGAATTAGAAAGTTAAAAAAAAAAAGGCTGCAGAGCATTTGGGATTTATAAGAAAAATATTTATGTTTTGTTAGGTAAAATGAAATTATTAATTATTTAATCTCTTGAAACAATTTATCCTTTTGAAATTAATAAATATAATATACTTTTGATGCCACTTTAAAAATAAAATAATCTATCAATTTTGAATTATACAAGACTTTTAACTAATTTATATTTTCAATAAATTTGTTAATGATATTTGAAATTATACATTTTTCATATTCATTCTTACTTAATAACTTGTCTCAATTATGTGGCAGAAAAAAATGTGTCTCAGTTAAAAAATGAAGAATGATAAATAAGCATCATCAAATAGGAAAATGATGATAGAGTATCATCAAATGGAGTAATTATTTTAAAATTTTTATAAACTTATTTGACATAACTTTTTTAACGAAAATTACATTTCTAACCCGAGCAAAATAACAAAAAATTTAGTTGTTAAATCTAAACTAAAGTTGTTCATGCCAAAGTAAAGTTATTAATACAGCAAGCATAAATGTTAGTTTTGTTATTCAATAACATGTACACTTCCCATCTTATCATTTTTAGCTTAGTAATTAATACTTCAACTTACACATTAACAACACCACTGACCATAATTTAAATTTAGTTATACAATAACAATTACGGTTATTATAATAACAACTTTAGTACGTTACTTTCGTTGTTTTTTTTCCTAGTAATAAGTACTTTACTTTTATTATTAACAACTTGAATTTAGGTTTTAACAAGTACAATGTTTTCTAATAAGTATTTTATAGAGGGTCAAAAATGTAATTTTCTAAACAATTATGTTATATGAGTCCAAAAATATTGGTGGACCTATAACCTTGAGCCAGATAGAGTATGATAATTTAATTTAAAATAAATAATTGTTAAAAATAATATTTAATAATTTAAAAAAATAACAATTAGACTGCATTAAAATTTTACTAACATAACTAGATTGATTATCTCTTTTTTCTTTTAAAAAATTATATTATATTGAATAAATTGATATGATCTTTTATATAAATATGCTTTACATATCATATCTCAATCATTAAAATATTATATATATATATATATATATAAAATAAGCTTTTAAGTGTAGATATTTTTTATTTAATTTATAAGGTACAAAAAATTAAAAGTATGGGGTGAAAATTTAGACAAAATAAATGCACCCCTCACTATAAGGTGGCTCCACCACTGCTTGGGAACTTCAAAATAATTATCTTGCCCCATTTCAAAGTGCTTCCTCGTCATTCGTTTATTTTAATAAGATTTGTTTATCATTTTTTCATTAAAAATATTATTAATTACGTTGTTAACTAAAAATATTTTTAAAAAAACCATATTAATTACACTTGAAATAACCAAAATATCTTATATTTTTTAATATAATACTTTAAAATAGTATATTGTAATACTGAAGAAAAGGAATAATAGTTATAACATGTTGTATTAACAATTTTTTTTTTTATTTCAGGTAGGGATCAAATCAAACTATTTAATATTTTCTTTACAAGTGACAAAAATTCACGCTCCCAAAAATTAAGGTGAACAGGTGATTACTTAATTCCCAACCAGTTATGTCTTCTGCATGGTGAATAGGTGCGTGGAAATATTTACACCTGACTTATGCGTAGTTTCCAGTAAATATTTTTTTGTACGTAATTTCACTGATTTGTAAATATTATATGTATGGATAATAATACTATTTTGACTGTGAAATTTAACTAACAATTATATTATAAAAAATTTAGTACTTTAACAATCATATTTAACAATTAAAATTATAACATCACGTGGAGTATCTCTTTACAATAAATGAGAGAATTCATAGTTTAATACACGGTTCCTTTTCATCCACGTTCATTGATAGTGACCACAATATTAATTTTAAATCCCTACGTAGCTTACAAAATTTTATAATTTATGAAAAAATAATTATTTAATCTATATAATTTTGACTCAATCTCAGAATTTAAAATTTGATGAAGTAGTTCTTCAAATGTTAATCATTGAATATATTGATTCTTATACTTTATAACTTGATTACAATTTAATCCTTGAAATCGAACGATTAATTAGATGATTTTGGAAAGTACAGGAGCAATTTACAAAATGACTGAAATTTAAAAGATTGAGTTAAATAAACTAAATTTGTTTAAATTGTAAACCAGTCAAAATTATATGAATCAAATTATTAATATTTTTATTTTTTTATTTGAAGAAAAACACGTTCTATTAGGCTTGCCAAGCCCAGGGCCTTGTTTCATTTGAAGAGGTTTTCCCGCAAAAGAAACGAAGGAAAAATGTCCTTTTCGCTAATTTGATTAAAAGGGAAAACAAAAAAGAGGGCAAAAGTATAACAGCAGGATATTCATGGTATAAAAGAATATTCATGATTATTTGATTGTGTTTTTATTTTTTATTTTTTAAAAAATGTTTGAATGTGTTAATCTAAAAACAATTTTAGAATTGAAAAAATTGCCAATGGTTGTCTTTGGTTAATGATGGTGATTTAAGATAGTTATTAATCAAAATAATTATAGTTTTCAATAATCAAATATAATGCATTTTAAAAATAATAAAATAAAATGAAAACTCTTTTAAAATGTTTTTAATTTTGGAAACAATTAAATTCAAAACAGTGTTTCGATATATTTTTTAATTTTTGTTTTTAAAAATAAAAAAATTTAAAAAATATAAACCAAAAAAGTCCTAAAAGCTATAGTTTTCTTTGTTATAATTTTTTATTTTTAGAATATAAACAAATCAATTTTGATATGAAACATAAAATTCGCAGAAAAATTTATTTTTCACAAACGATGAATAGTATTGAGGCCATGGATAAGACCATGAATAGTGGTTCTTGTTTTTAAAATAAAAATTTTAGGAAAAATTAATCTTTTAATTCTTCAATTTTTAACTCACTTATAACTCATTCTATTAACTATGACTCGCTACGACTCAATTCCTCAACTATAACTCGCTGCAACTCAATCCCTCAACTTTTTGATTTACCTATAACTTGGTTCTTATTTTTTAATTTTTTTAAAAAAATTTATCAAATAAGAGGAATTAAAAAAATGCTCATATATTATTTTAAAATACCTTCTTCTTATTCATTAATGTAAGATATAAGCTAACATGAAAAAAAAATTAACAAAGATTAAGGGACTAATTTGTAAGTAATTCAAAACTTAAGGGACTGAGTCATAAGCGAGTTATAGTTGAGGGACTGAGTCACAGCGAGTCATAGTTGAGGGACTGAATTGCAAGCGACTTAAAAATTAAAGGATTAAAAGATTAATTTTTTCAAAATTTTATTACACTTTATTCTAATATATTCCTGGCTTATTAATACCATTTCTCATACACTTCTTGATTCCACAAATTTTTTTGTTTTTGGCTTGGAAAGATTCCAGAACTTCGAATCCTATTTAATGGCATAGGACTTTGACTATACTAATAATAAGTATTTCTCTCGTCTAGATTATCCTTCAAGGAACTTTCTTTTGTTTCTCCATCGCAATTGTCCACATCAGACTTCTCACCCTCACCATTTACATTCAAACATATGCAGTATAAATTGTGAATCTACATGCAAGTTTTTATAATTTCATTTACTTTTAAATTAGGTTCTTGCAATTTATTTTGTTTTAATTAATCTCTTATAGTTTGATATCTTAAATTTTTTAATACTTGAAAGCTAAAGTTCTTAAATTTTTTCTTTTAAGAAAACAAGATTAAGAACTTTTATATTTTTATTAAATGATGATATAACTTTAAAATTAATTACATGATTTTTATAATTTAAAATTTATATAATTATA